ATGCCCTCTCCCACCTCCCAAGAGGCCTGGGCCCAGAAGATACCATGTGGCAGAATTGAATGAACTTCATGCTGTGTGATTTGGTCCCATATGTCTTTACAGACATCTCCTAGGTGTTGGCAATTCTGAGGTGTGTATGGGCTCTGTTCTGGAGTGGTTCCCATGCGATGGGATGACCAGTGAGCAGTGGGTGCCAGGATAAAGTCAGGACACAGGCCTGGGGAAAAGCATCCATGTTTACACCCTAGCTGCCTGGTGTTGCTGGAGAAAATTTTACAACTGCAACTTGGCAGGGTCAAAGACCCTCCCTGCCAGTCGGCTTCCTTGTGTTCCTAGCACCGAAGGGGCAGATTTGTGGCAGCCATGTGCCCTAATCTTGGCCCCCAGCAGACATCACAAATCAATCAAGACCTCTTCTCTACTGAGTTCTGATGCAGTTTTATTATCCTTGATACCAGGCAGCCATTACCAATCAATCACCGTTGGCCCATGGGATGAAATCTATTTAACTTCTTGTCCTGATCAGTTCTTTTGGCCAATCTTTCTTTCATTTATGTCAAATATTCTCCTCTCTTCAAACCAAGAGTTCTCCCACCTCCTTCCTCTTCCTTTGCAGATGACTTTAGACAGCAAAGCTGTGATTAGATGCTATCAATTGAGAATCTGACCTTCTTTTCACCTCCAAACTACCGGCCCCCTCCCTCTTTCCCCTTAATTACAAGTGAGGAGGTGCTCTCCTCTACCTAAGAACAAGTCCTGCGCCTGAGCGCTGGTATTATCCTCCCTACCTCCTTGGAATCCGGGCTTGTAATTTTTTTCCCTCTGTCCTGTACCATCAGCTTCACCCATCCTAGTGTATTCTTTCTATCATGTTTTAAGCATGCTCAGTTCTTTCTCAAAAAAACAAAACAACAAAAAAAAAAACAACAAAAAAAGTGGGTGGGTGGAAGGAACAATGCCATTACCAGCTTCTTATTTTGCCAAGTAAGGACTCTGAGACCCCTATCTGCCTTCTATACTTTTTAAAGTAAAGTATGTTTTAACATCATACTCAGTAGAAAAGAGATACCTTCACAATATATGCCTGTAAATTGAATACATTTGGCTAACAAAAAATTCACCAAATTGTACTAATTTTTCTCAGTTATGTGTAGACCAGAGGAAACCCAAGGACCTGCATTTGCAAACAACTGGACTAGAAGACTGTTGTTGGGCGGGAGGGGATCCCTCAGGCTCAGCCTGACCAACTGCATTAGTCCAGCAGTCAGGAAAGAGGCCTCCTCTCCCCTTGAGCTGACGCACCCCTCTGTAGCTGTAGCCTGGCTACTTCCAGACCGTCTGGGCCTGCACACTGGCCACAACCAATTCCCAGTCAGGCAGGATTTTCCCCTGACATCACCCAGACCTACTCGGAGCTGTCACACACGTTTGTACCCCACGTGGAAGAGGTCACCCAGTGCTAGCTGCAGAAACATCACAGTTCTAAGGATGTTCTTCTGTGAGATAATGGACCAGCTAAACAGGCACTAGTTTCCACAAAATCACCCACATTTCTGAATGTAGACAGCAAGGGCACCATGTGCAGGGAAACGGCCAAGGCTGGGACCCAGAGGCCAAGGTTCACAAGGATGTTCTGTCTGTATGGCCTTGAGGAAGCCATCGACCCACTCTGTGTCTTAGTTTTCATCTGCAAAATGAGCATCATAATATCCATCCATGGTGTTATATAATCAGAGAGCCTGGAATGGTAGCTGGTACACAGCATGGGCTTTTATGTTAAGAATCCCTCCACCATGGTAGAGCATTTTAGCTCTGTGATCTAAAACAAGTGTATCTAGCACAAGCCCATGAGGCAGGGGTATTATTCCCATTTTACAGATGAGGAACTGAGGCTCTTGGAAGGGAAATGGCTTTTCCAGGACCTCTTAGAGGATAGCAGTAGAGCCATGCTTTATACCTAGGTCTCCTGACTCCAAAGCTCTTATCCTCTGCACTGAATGCCCCTCCTCCACCCTCAGAGCAGAACACAGGAGGGGCCAGACTGCCGCCAGCACTAGATGGGCAACAAAAGCCCAGGCAAGCCGCAAGATCCCCACACAGGAGCATGGGGAGTATGGCGGTGTCTGCGGGTCGCACTCCACCAAGAGAGCGCTTGGCCCCAGCCCTGCACATAAATCCTTCAGCCTGTCACCGGATGTGGGACTCAGAAGTTACATGACCATAAGAATGTAACGAGGCTGGAGTGGACTGCTCTCACCACAGCTTTCGTGCGGATGTGTTTCATGCCAACACGCTGACTCTGGAACAGGCCGCTTGGTTGGCATGATGCCCCGCACAGGAAAGCGGAGCCCTCGGATCCTCACTCCTAGGCCTGGGGTCCAGTCCTAGCTCTATCCAGACTCCCTGCTCACATCCCTGCCCCTGGTGGGCCTCAGCTGCCCACAGCTAAGATGAGGCAGACAGGCTCAAGCTCAGAGGCTCTGTCCAGCTTGGAATCCTTGGGTGAAGTAGAACTGCCATGCAAAATGGGCTGTTGTTTCCAGGTGAGGCTGAGCCAGAGGTGGCAGCTGCCAGTGAGGTCTGCACACAGCTCTAGACCTGTTGATTTTGGAGAGGTGGTTCACGAGGGCCGAGGCAGGGTTTGCTTTGCCCTGACTTTACTGCCGGCTTATCCTAACAAGCAAGCTCACCAGGCTTAAGGGAACCCAGGATGAGAGGCTCTGGTCAATTCATTTGTTCATTTATTCACTCATTCATTCTTTCATTCATTCACTGAGCTAGAGACCTATCACAGGCTACCAAATGATTAAGCGATGATTAAGTAGTGTCTGCCTCCCAGAGCCCAAGAGTGGTGAGACACAAAGACAGAGCCAGCACCACTCGCCAACCACAGTGTGGAGAGCAGGGAGAAGGTGAGGTGCCAAGAGCTGACAGAGGCCAGGACCAGGACAGTGGCAGTGGGAATGGACAGAGTGAACAAGTGTAAGGTCCTTCTAGTAGTCTGTCAATAGGACCGACTGGTATGGAGATGGAAGAAAGCGGAGTTGGGCGAGATGCCTGTGTGCTGGTCTGTGTGCGAGATGCCTGTGAGTGGACATTTGTGCCCTGACAGCCTTGAGGCAGGTTCAGGAAAAGGAGGTCAGTGTCCAGGGCTGCCTGCACTGCTGGGATTCTCACCTTAACTCTCCTTCTTCTTCACCCACAGGACAGAGGTGGTGGTAGCTACCTCCAAGCCCTGGGTGGCCTCTGTCCTGGGCATTGGCTCTCATGGACAGGGAGGTCTAATCACTCAGGGTGGCATGTGGAATCCCTCATTGGCCTCCTGGTACTCTGGGGAATCCTCTTAGGCCCCTGGAGAAGCAGGAGTGCTGGTTGACTCAGAAGGGCTCCCCATGTGAAGTCCACTGGGGGCTGCTCTGCCCAGATGCCATAGAAAGGAGAGCTGTGGAGGCAGCTGGATGGTGAAGGAGAGAGTACATAGGAGAGCACTTCCCTGCATGGATCCCCACCATTGTCCTGACTCACGCCAGGTATCCTGCAAGTGTCCTACAGCTGAGGAGTGGCCTGTCCTCTCCATGCAGTCAGTCAATCCTGCTCTGGCCGGCTTCTTAGAGCCCCTTGCAAGAATCCCTCCCTTCTCCAAAACCCATGTCTGAATAGCCCCTGGCACCCTAGATGGCCCCAAAGGGTCCTGGCTCTTCCTATTCAGTGAGTAAACTGAAGCTGTAAGAGGGAAGAGACTTGCCAGAGGTCACTTAGGGCCATGGCAGAGCTCCAACTGGAGACCATAACTCTTTCTGTTCAGTTGTTGTGGCCTCATAGAGGCTGTCCCTGGGGGTCCGTGTCCACTTCTGAGCCCTGCACATTGCCTCTTCTGTGTGAGGGCTGCAGAGAAGGGAGGAGGCCCACCTGGCTCTTGCCCTTGAGGTAGCTGGAGTTGAGAGGCCAAACAGTGGACATACCCCACTTGACAAAATCAAGACTACTCATCCTAGAGGGCAGTGCAGGAGTGACAGCAGGGGAAAGGAAGGGCTGGGGCAGTAGTGACAAGATCAGTGCCAGGCAGTGAACATGAGGACATTCAGCAAAGTCACCTCGCTAATTCCCACAAAACAGGAGATGAATTCTGTCATCTCACATTGCAGGTAACATGAGCAATAGCTAAATGTCTGTTGCTATAACTTACGAATCAAAACTGACTAACAAAGGAGGTCAATATGATATCCTGTCTTGGTAGGGACAGTCATGGAGAAAGAAAGAACAAACGAGGGAGAAGGGAGGAAATCTGAGAAGGAACAGTGAGAGACGCTGAGCAAGCCCTACACCTGGACATCTGAACTCCCCTCTTCAGGAAGCCACAGGTCCCCCAGAAGAAAGCACTGAGTTCATGGTTCTACACTCATTGTCATTATAATGATGATGATTGTCATGGCTGCCATTTTGTATGTAGCGGGTTATTTAAATGTTATCACTCATTTTTACAACTATTCTACAAGGCAGGTGTTTTCAATGCATCAATAGTTGTTGTTACCACTGTTCATGTATGGAAGAAGGAATTGAGCCTTTGAGAAGGTTCCAGCCAAGAGGACGTAGCTGAGCTGGGATCTGGAGCCAAGACTGTGGGATGCCAGCGCCAGTCTCTCCCCCGGGGACACACAGCCCTCACAGCCACGCCCTGGTTCTGTGGGCGGGCCTGAGGTGGGTTGGAAGGGGGAGCTGGCTTTAGTTCTGGGGCCTCACATGGTTGCCTGGGGCACAAAGGGGCCACAGATGTTATCTGTGACAGGGACAGGGATCACTGCCCTTGCCCAGGGGGACCAATATGAAAGAATCCTTGACCAGAAGCAGAACTGTCCTGGCTCCCAGCTCTGTTACTGGGCACACTTAGATGGGGCTTCTCCTGTCCCATCCTGGGCTTTGGCTATTCTCTTGGTAAAGCAAAGGTCAGGAGATTTTCTCAGGATTCTGCAAACAACCCCTTTCCCCACTGTGGCCCAAACCTGCTCCGAAGGCAAAGAAACAGATCTTGTCTTCATTCTCCTGCAGGAGTGCCATGACCCTCTTCCCCATGCGCTCATTCCTCTTATAGATGAGCTCCTGACGGAAGTAGCTGTCGATCTCCTGGGCTGTCACCTGCTCATGCGGTGGAAGGGTGGTGTTGATGAAGTTGGGTAGCTGCAAAGGCAAGACAGAGGCTGCTTTAATTCTTCATGGAACCAGGTGGACTCCAGACCAACACACACAGCCTGGTGAGGCTAGGCAACCTACCTTTATGAGCATGCCTCAGGGGGCTCTGTGTTCTGTATGTGTTTCTCACCCATGCCACACCCATGCCCAAGTCCTCTGAGATGAGCACTGCTTTTCCAGTTCTACAGATGAAGCAAGGATGAGTGGGAAAAATCCAGAGACACATGCAAAGCTGCACAGCAAGTGAAATGGCAAAGCTGGGGTGACAGCCCGGATGCTGACCTTCTGCAAGTATCACTCTGCCATGTGTCTCTGCCCTTTGACCCTCAGCTCCCAGGTGCTGAGGTCCAAGGAGGCTTGGACAGTGCTCACCTCTTTACTCCCACTTCATCTCGAAGCCCAGGACTGGAATGTACAAGGAATCCCATTCAGCAAGAGGGTAGACAGGGTCACCTGAGCTGCCTGGTGTAGTAGGAAGGTCATGGAACATGGGATTAGGCTGTCTTGGCTTCAACTCCTGTTCTGACACTGTGTGGTACTGGGCAAGTTACTTAATTTTTCTAAGCCCACGTTTTCTCGCTTGTAAGATGGGACTCATGATGTTGTGGGGACTGAATGAGAGGATGGGTTCTGTGGGCTGCATCTGGCCCATGCCACCCTATGGAGGTGAGATGGGGTCATCACCTTTGGTTTTCCAATGCCTGGGCCACCATTTGTGGCCACTATCCCTAGCTTCCCCACTTCCCAGGACATAAACCAATCCCCAAATCCCTTCTTGAGGACCTCAACTCCAGGACCACATCTTCCTGAGGACGATGGCTTGCTCAACACCAGGCTTGGTTCTACCCAACTTTCCATGCTCCGAGCACTTCACCATCACTTCATGCTCCATACTTGGCCACGTGGCCTGGGAGCAACATCAATGACATGTTCCTGAACTAGGCAGAGAGAGATCGAGGGGTAGACCCTCTGTCGTCTCTGGTCCCCAATGCCTGGCACTTAGAAGGTGCCCAGATTCCTCGGACCTTGGATATAAGGTTGTGCTGTCTCTTCCTGGCCACAGTCGCCCCTCCTGTGTTCTTTCATTCCCAACATTTTGTCTTTCCAGACTGGATGGTAGGTCCAGGTGTACCTGCACCATTTCCTCTAGTGCATGTACAGGGCTGTTGAGGAAACTGAGGCAGGGAGTCAGAACATACCTTCTCTTTTCCCATAAACTGTCACTCTGACCCCCAAGTGTGTGCTCACAGGATGTCTTCACCTGGTGTCCCTTCTGCCACTGCTCTATCTTCACTTATCTGGACACAGAGCATGAGGCGCTAGGTCTTGCTGACTGATGGGTGAGGTGGATGGAGAGCCTGGCATGGGGAGGCTAATTTCCCGCAGGCTTTATCCCCCAGAAGGGTCCTGCAGCCCAGCCATATGGCTTCTAGAGTCACTGCAGAGTTGTAACACTCCTTCTGAGGAAAATGGAGGAGTCAACGGAGGCTAAGCCCTGAGGGACTCTGAGGAGGCTACCACATCTGCCTCTGCTATCTGCAGATTCACTGCCCTGGGATGAACAAGACAATAACATGACTAGTGTTTGCTAACCTTGCACAGTGCATAACCTGCATAGCCTTTCTGAGTGCCCAATCAGAGTTAGTGTCCAGGGAAATAGGCAAATGAAGGAATGGAGTTCTAACTCTCCTTGCTATGGAAGTGACAACTGGCAGTCCTAACAAAACAGGCCACACTTGAACTTGATGCAACTACAGGAAACACTGAAGGATTCTGAGTAGGGAGGAATGCAGAGAGGTTGTGACTCAGAGTTATTTCTGGAAACAGGACCCTGGCAGGCTTTTCCCTATTCCTTTGATATGGGAGAGAATATGAAACCAACAAACAAATATTTGCCTAATGTCTAATTAATGAATGAATCAACTGAGAGAGAGTAGAGGTATAGGGGTTGTGAATATAGGTCCTGAGTCAGACAGACAGGACAACTTGGGCTGGAATCTCTCTTTTGCTGCTTACTCGCTGAGTGGCCTCTCTGTAACTGGAAAGTCACTTGGCTTCTCAGACTCAGTTTCCAGATTGGTAACATGTGGGTCATACAGGTTGTTGTAGGGATTAAGCACACTGAGTTTTGGAAAGTGCTTAGCACAGTGCCTGGCACAGAGAAAGTCTTGAATCAGCGTTAGTTGTTAAACAACTAGCCTGGGGATGGAGCTGGCTTAATCACCCTTCCCAGTGAAGGGTGGTCTCGGGCAGTGGGTAGTGATGGAGATGACAAATAAATGACCTTCAGAACCATCAGAGAGCCACGAAGTCAGCATTCTGCTTCCCTTCCCCTCCCGAGGGTCCCTGGGACCTGCGTATGCACCCTGCCATTCCTCCTATGCTTCCTGACCACAAAAGGGCATCTGTACAGACAAATCTCCCCAAAATTAAATTTCAAAGTCATGGAGGAGTTGGGCTGGACCCCCAGGCTCCCTGGGCTGGCCAGCACTGGCCAACATTCTCTGCAAGTTTCATGCTGATGGGCCTTGGCTCCAAGTCAAGGATGGGGCCTGGGTTTGGGCCAGGGCTGAGATGGAAGCAAATTAATGATGTCATTAGACTTGTCAGGGGCCTTAAATCTTCCATGATGAGTTTAAGTGCAGGATGCACAGTAACACTGTAAAAAGGACATGTAAGATCCCCAGGGAGGGGGTGATGAGGAGGTGGGTTGGACAGGACTGGGGTGGGGCTGTGGGGATGACTACAATGTAGGCTCCCCTGACCCACGACCCAGCCAAGGTCAGGTCTGATGATCAAGCGCTCAGGTCTGCTGACGCCACTGACCTCCACATCCGCAGCCCTTCCCTGTACCCCATCCACCCAACAGACCCCCCCCGTGGAAACTTCCACTGTTCCCACTCTGTGTCAAGCTAGGGGGGCATAGGGCACCCTCAGACTGGGTCCGCTGCTCTTGATGAGGCTCACAGCCCCGTGGGGGTATCAGATATGCGGGCAAGAACACTGAGGAATCTGTGCTTCGAGAGGGCGGTGCAGGATGTGTGAGTCCAGAGGAGATACCTGATAGGGCAATCATGTGTCTTGGCTTGTCCAGGGCAGGCCAGGTCTATGGCTAGAGGAGATTGCTCAATGTCTGTTAATTATTTTGAACCTGAATTGCATTGGATCTTTCACTCTCAAAAGTATCTGGGTTTGGACAATAAATAAATGTGGCTACTCTATGCCCAAGGCAGGTGGGGGCCTCAGGCCAGGCTTTCCAGAGGAGGGCCTTCATATCACCCTGTGATGCTAGGCACTGACAGTGCTGCCAGGGGCCTGGGCTGCAGTCATTGCTGCGGGTGGGGACGAGGAGACAGGAGGTAGGCAGACCAAGGAGAGGTGCCACTGGCCCTGGTCCCTGGCAATATCCACCAGGACCTTACACCAGTCCCACCGGAGCCCTCCAGAGGCCGCTTCATCATCCTCCACGCTGCAGCCAGAGGCAGCTTTCTGACCAGGCTGCTCTCCTGCTTACACCCTCCAGGGCTTTCTCCACTCCCCAGCAGGCACCCTCACCCCTGCATGGATGGTGCTCTGCTCTGCAAATCTGTCCTTCAGGCCTCCAGCCACACAGCTTCCTCAGTCTGCCAGCCCCCCTCACTCCAACCTGGTGGACTCCACTCTCAAGGTTGGTTCCCATATCACCTTCTCCCCGAAGGCTTCCCAGACTGCAGGCAGACTGATTGTGGCCCCACAGCCTCCGTGTCCTCATCTCCCTACAGACGTGTGACCCCCAGCAGGGATGCAACCCCATCTCAGATGGATTCCCATGGGCACTGGATTTAGCCTTGCTAGTCTGACACCAGGCTTTTCTGCATCTGCAGGGTTGCCTAGCCCCTCCTCAAGGGGCTAGCTTCTGCCTTGCAACCCTGGGCGCAGCCTGGGTTGCTCTTCAAATCTGGGTGACCCAATCCATCCACCCTGTGTCCCACTTCAAGTACGGCTGCCAGGGGACCACTGAGGCATTTTCACCTGCCAGAGACAGATCAGTGGTTGGGACACAGGCTCAAAGAAAACCTGAGTTTGCCTTCTCTTGAGGCCACATCATGCTTCCCTCTCATTCCACCTGGCCAGGGCCTGAGGCTGTGACCAGGCCCCCTCTGCTCAGGATTCATGGGAGCAGAGCACCCTGGTTGCTCAGGACTTGTGGGCCTGTCCCCCAGCGGATGACGCAGGCTGGAGCCTTGCCACAAAGCGGGTCCCTAGTAAGACCCTACAAGTGTCTCACGGTATCAGCGCTCTCTCCATCTTCATTTCTCCACCACTGAGCCAAAGCTTGTGGGATCCCGAGCCTCCTGTGGCAAAACCTCCAGCTTCTTCTGCCTCTCATTCCCTGCATTGCATCAAGCAGGCCACAGGCCTACGTCTGCCCATGCGACAGTCACTTGCTCTGCCAGGCCTGCGCTGGGCAGCGTACCCTTGTCCTCAAATGCTTGGAATCTGGGACTGGAAGCACAGACAGCACACCACAGCCAGCCTGCTTTTGTCTCTAGCCTGAACACTCACCTCTTACCTCCGCCCCCATTCTCTCTTGCTTCTGGCTCCTTTGCATGTGGCTTTCTCTGCTGGAACATTCTTCCTTCCTGCTGACACATTCTGTGTCCGTTCTTCTGTGGCCTGTCATCCTGCAGGGATCTTTCCTTCTCTCCCCAGCTCCAGCCCCTACCCCAAGCCCATCTAAAAGAGCCTTCCTGCCACAGGCCCCAAAGGTATTTTCTGCTCCTCACTCACAGCGAGGGTCAGTCACACTCTGGTGAAGAGTTCTTGAATCTCCCTGTCTCCCCTATGAGACTGTGAGTCCCAAGAGGGCAACTCCCTCTCATCCGCCTCTATGTCCTTTCTCATTAAATAGTTACTGGATCCAGCTCCACACCCTTGCCCTCGTAGGGCTTACGCTGTAGTGGAGAGGAACAGACAAATAAATGGCCAGCCATCAATGCATCAAGTAGATAGTGTGCCAGAGGATGACAAAGGCCATGGGAAGCATGACAAAGGGGGTGAGAGTGTGGGCATGGGTCCAGGCCATGATTCTAGATAGGATGGCTGGGGCTGGCCTCTCTGAGACGACGGGATTTGAGACAAGAGCTGAAGGCAGAAAGGGAGTGAGCCGTGGTGCCACCAGGGAAGAGCATTCAGCAGAGGGAGCAGCCAGCGCAAAGGCAGAAGCAAGTGAGGTGGGGAGGACCAGCAAGGAGGCCTGTGTGGCCACAGTGGAGGGAGGGGAGGGTAGAAGAAAACAGCTAGAGTAGGGGTATGGTAAGGGGGCCACACAGGCCACAGTAAAGAGTCTGGCTTTTGCCCTGAGAAAAATGGGGATCCCATGCAGTGTCCTGAGCAGGGAAAGGGCCCGTTCTGCCTCATCCAATTGCTTCTTGAATGAATGGGTATTCAAGGGCCATGACAGGAGGCATGGGGGGAGGGGAGCCTAAAGGTGCCGGGAAATACCTCATCCATCCAGCGGCTCGGGAAGGTTTTTCAGGAGGTGACAGTGGACTGTGGGAGGGAGGATCCTGGACAAAGGCCCAGAGTTTTAAAAGATAAGCTACATTAGAGTAGCTGTAAGTTCCACAGGTCAGCAGAGCAAGGTCTGTGGCGTGGGGGACCTGGGCTGTGACAAGGCCAGCAGAGGGCAAATCCTGAGGGCCTTGAATGCTGGAGGAAGTATTTGGAACTCACTCTGAGAACAAGGGGAAGCCATGCTCAGCCCCCTCGGGGATCTGACAGCCCTGATTCTTCTAGGACTCGAATCAAAGCAGAATGCCCATTGCTGGACTCAAGTTCAAGCTCTGAGTGACTGTGGACTTTTCCTTCCCTGGGTCTTAATTTCCTCAGATGTAGACTCAGCCTCTCAGAGGCCTCCCTGGAGAAGCTTCTAGGGTCTTAGGACCCAGAGTCACTGGACCTGGCTCAAGCTACTGCTCTTGATAACTTGATAACAGCTCAAAAGTTCTGTGGTTTCTGGCAAGTCTCTTCCCTTCTCTGAGCCTCAATTTTCCCAATTATCAAGGGCAGATAACAAGAGCTCCTACTTACCATGCCTAGAGAGAAGATTACCTGTGCCTATCACACGTTAGGGATCTAATAAATGCCAGATGGGTTCACATGGGTCTGGTCTGAGGTCTTTGGAGAGGAACCTCACCTGGGACGTGTCATGGTTGAAGATGACCGCGTTGAGGTCCCCGCAGTTGTAGTGCTTGATGAGGTCCTCCGTGGTGTAGGGTGCCTGCAGGCTCCCGGCCCGCACACTCTCGTGCTGCAGTAAGGTCTGGTTCAAGGCAAACAGCACCTGCACCAAGGAGAGAGAGGAATGAGGGCCCTGGCTGGGCGCTGGTGCTGGTCCTCCCCACTCTAGACTTCAGGACAGTAGTCCTGAACAGAGAAGGTATGTGGACCGCACAGTCGGCTCAGGTGGCATGTCTCCACAGTCTCGCTCCGGGTGTGCTCTGCCTACTCTCATCACTAGCCTTTGCCCACATGGCCTGCTCCTGCCCTGGGTCTTAATATTTTACTCGTGACGTGGCAAAATGAGCATCCTGCTTGTGCCTGGGTTTTGGAGGAATGGATGAGATTTTCTTTGGCCTCCTGTGCTCCTGTGCTTAGAAAAGCTCTAGAATGAGCACGGACTAATTTTGTAATCAAGAACACCTCCAGACAAGGCAAAACACACAAATGAACAAAAACAGAAGAAAGCCCAGCTAGATGTCAGGGGCCAACCTGAAGGCCATCCCCTCCGGGAGCCTGCCTCACCCAGGGAAAGGCCTAAGGAGCTGGGTCCCTCAGCATCACATCCGTGCTCATACTCAGTATGTGTGTCCTCAAGCTCCTCTGTCCAGGTCACTGTGCTAGTCATGGTGCCCAACCAGATGTGCCAAGCATGAGGACCACTGGGTGTGGTATCCGGAATGCTGCCCAGACCTCGCCCTTGGAATCAGGGTCTCTGTATTTTTAAGAGGGCCCCTGGGTACTTCTTAGGCAACCTGACAGTCTCTGGCATTTGAGGCTCGTGGCTCTGAAGGAACCCAGGTTGTCCCAGGTACAAGGGCTCTGAGAGATTATCAAATCCAGTGTTCCCATTCTAAATGGGGAAACTGAGGCCCAGAGGGAGGAGGCACCTGCTCAATCCATACCACCTGGACTGGAGTTAGTTTCCTGTGACTGAATATCCCAGACTACTTTGGTCAACAGAAGGGAGGAGCCTGACCATTATTTGGATTATTTAGCACAGATAGGAGAAAAGCATGTGGCAGGCCCTGTGCAAAATGTCAGGAGGCGATTTCGGGTCACCTGTCCCTGCTGTCTCCCCAGCCCAGCCCTCAGTCTTCAGGCCCTGCTCATTCGTCTGTACTAGCCCCAGCCTCTCGGCTCTTCCCAATTTAGGCCCAAGCATCTCTCACTGGGTCCACTGCTACTGTCCCTCCCATCTCCCTGTACACCCCTCCCTTTCCAACTATCCCATATTCTTCTGCCACCATCATCTCTCTCTCTCTCTCCTGCTCAAAACATTCATGGGTCCCTCCTACCTGGAGGTTAAGGAGCTAGCTCTTGAGTAGAGTCTCCGAGGCAGTAACCTGGGCCTTGCTGTGGTCAATAATCTCGATTCTTATATGACTCTCATAACTCCTGATTCTAAAATACTTAGCGCTCTGTAAACAAAACAATCTTCTGCCTCCTTATAAGCTGTTCCACATTCATAGAAAACCCTGTCCCTTCCATTCTCCACTTGCAGACTCAGACTTGGCCATTCAGACCCTGCTCAGCTATCTTCTCCAGGAAGCCTCTCTGATTACTTGGGAGCTAGGTGAGGCTATTCCCTGGGGCTCTCCTGGTCTCTATGGGTGATAGATGCACACATGAATGGCCGCTTCATCCCTCCCCGTATTCATGCCTTTGCCATGGTGCTTTGTCGCTCCCTTCCATCCTGAATCTGCACTTGCTTGAGCCAGTGGGATGCTGGCAACATTACAAGTGAAGACCAGAAAAGTGCTCAAGGCTGTTGCTTCCTGCACCTCCACCACTGCCCTGAGAGCAACCCAGGCTAACCTGCTGGAGGATGAGAGACATGTGGAGCAGAGCCACCCACCACAGTCATTCTAGACCAATGCCAGCCAAAGCCAGTCAACTCCTAGATATGTGAACAAGTTCAGCCAAGATCAGCAGAGCCTATTCCCAACTGGCCCCAGATGCAGGAGCAATACATGCTTACTGTAGTTGCTACACGGTGCAGCTGTGGCAACAGCCAACTGACACACCGTGCTTCCCTCCACCATGGAGGCAACACTAGACTGCAGTGGCTCCTTTGCTGTCAGTCTTCCATTAGGCTATGAGCTTTCTGAAGACGGGAATTGTGTCTTTCTCACTTTTGAATCTGCAGCACTCATCACTGTGCCTTGTAAAGAGAGGGTATCGCCTCAGCCTTTATTTCTTTGACACCTGCTATGGTCATTTCATAGTTCAAGGCTGCTCAGTAAGCCCTAAAGATAAGCCCCTAGAACTTGGGCACTCTGCATTTTGAGGCACACCACCACCACATGGCAGAAGATCCTGCCAAGTGGCAGCAGTCACTTGGTTCAAGAACAAAAAAGCTCATGAAACAGGTATGCACTGCTCAGCCAAAATATTGACATGGGCGACGGGGCCAAGCTTGTGCTCATGAGATCACCCCCATCCCCTCCCATTTTTGCTCGTGGCTGGGCAGGGGAGCTGGAGTGCGCTGGATGCAGCCCAGGCTGCTCCCCATAATGAGCTGGCTGGAGATGAGGTCAGAGCCCCCCACCCCACCTCTGGGCCTTCTCCAGGCCTCTAGGCTCTGGCCGCCACCACTGAAATTCGATCTGGCGCCATCTGGTGCAGGGTGTCGATGGCAGCATGGTGGCTGGGGATGGATCACAGGAGGCAGTGGCCTTGTTGCTGTGGACATTGCTAAGGCAACAGGCACTTCCTCCCATACGGCACATGCCTCGGAGGAAAGTGTCCGTGTCGAGCTGATCCGCTCTCCCGCTCCGGGGGCCCGGGACACACAGACTTCCTGAGACCACGCCTAGCTGCTGCACACACCTGCCCTGCTGCTTCTCAGAGTCAGCTCGGCCAAGGCAACACCTGACCTGTGGTGAGGTCATTGGCCCAGGCGCCCAGAAGACTAGCTGGAAGGGAAATGGCCCCCCTGGACCTCGCCTGACTCACAGAATCTCTTCTGCAATAATGTGGTCCTCACGGAGCTGGGAGGTGTTCTCCTGAACTAAGTACTTCAGAATCTGCAGGGTGCTAAAACAGTCTTGGCATGTAGTAAGTGCTGGATACATGTTTGTTAAATTGAACTGAGAAGAAAATAGACCCAGGCCTTCCCAAATTAGAGGTGAAAGGGCCCCCAGAGGGCATCTGGTCCAAAGGCTTTTCAAGCCTTTTTTAGCCATGGAATCCGTTTTTGCTGTTGTTTTTCAAAGGAACCTTACTTGGAACCCAAAATGTAGAGCAGATAAAAACGGAAACTTCCCTGGTTGTTGTAAGGGAGGCAGGCTGAAGCCTGAATTCCCACCAGCTCAATGTTACCCCACAGCAGGACTCCCAAGGCCTTTCTGTGGAACCAGTGGATACCTTGGAGCCTAGTTTGAGAACCACTGTTCTCATCCTATAACCTCATCACATAAAAGGGAGGAGTCCGGAGTAGGTAGGGTGGGGCTTGCCCAAGACCACACAGTGAACTAGGGGCAGAGTGGGCTCAACTCCAAGCCTCCTGATCCCTAACCCAGGACCCTTTGCAGTGCCCTGGACCACACAGCAGGATTCCCAGACGTCCACAGGTACAGTCCACTTTGATCCACACTCATTGTTGCACTTATTTTCCTTCTGGAGTCTTGTGAAAAAGCCAGAAGTATTCAGTGACTATTTACTGTTGGTCTGTTATGAGTAAGCCCATTATAAATAGTCTATTACTAAGATGTAAAACTGAGGTTAGATCATTTATGAGGCATTTCTGTGTGTCACAGTAGGAATGTGGTGGGGCTTGTCATCCCTGAATCCTCCCACCCAGATAGGGTTTGATGCCTCCAGCAGACCCCTGCGTTTCCCTTGCTCTGGACACTTATCCCACTGAAGTGGGATAAGTCCTGATCCCTGACTCTCTGATCACTGTTGAGTCCCATGTGTCCAATAGCAGACACAGGAGCCACTGCGAGGGAAGGACAGATCCTGAATCATGTGCTCTCTCGCCTACACCTCTCGTCCTGTACCCTTCTTGCACAATTTATAAAGAAGTCTTCACCTCTCCATTACTAGGAGTATTGTGTTTATTGAGCACTTACTATGTGTCAGGAAATTTCTGAGCTCATGTTAATGTATTTAATCTTTACAGCAACTCTAAGCTAAGTCTATTATCAATTCCATTTAATCGATTTTTTAAAAACTGCAGCAAAGTGACATTAAGTACCTCACCAACGGGGATAAAGCTGGAGAGGGGTAGACCAGGCATTTGGGCCACCCTGGAATGCATCCTCTTAGTTACCCACTACCCTTTGGTAGCGTGCTGTCTCCAGGAGAGGGTCAGCAAGGATGGTGTCTCTGTTCACAGATGGGAAACCAAAGAAGCAGAGGAGAGTGATGGGCACAAGGCCATGCAACTGGTAAAGGACAGAGCTGGGGTTGGAATCACATTCTTCATGAGCATTCTCAGTGCTTCCAAAAGAGGGAAGTTTCTTTCTTTCCCTCTTTCTTCCTTTCTTTCTTTCCTTCCTTCCTTCCTTCCTTCCTTCCTTCCTTCCTTCCTTCCATTCAACAAATGACAGAGCTGGGGTTTGGAATTACATTCTTCATGAGCATTCTCAGTGCTTCCAAAAGAGGGAAGTTTCTTTCCTTTCCTTCTCTTTCTTTCTTTCTTTCTTTCTTTCTTTCTTTCTTTCTTTCTTTCTTTCTTTCCTTCCTTCCTTCCTTCCTTCCTTCCTTCCTTCTTTCTTTCTTTTCCTTCTTTCCTTCCTTCCTTTCCATTCAACAAATGACAGAGCTGGGGTTTGGAATTACATTCTTCATGAGCATTCTCAGTGCTCCCAAAAGAGAGAAGCTTCTTTCTTTCCCTCTTTCTTTCTTTCTTTCTTTCTTTCTTTCTTTCTTTCTTTCTTTCTTTCTTTCTTTCTTTCTTTCTTTCTTTCTTTCCTTCCTTCCTTCCTTCCTTCCTTCCAACAAATATCAGCGTTAGTGTCTTCTCTGCAGACATCTGAGCTGGTAGACTAACTGGACTTGGTTTCCATCTGTGCGAAGCCCGTCTTCAAGGCAACTGGTCAGTACACAGGTGGGGTGATAAGCACACAGGCTTTCTAATGAAGTGCTGGCCCTGACTCCCACCTACCCCTCTGAACTCCCAAGCCTGGCGCTGTTCAGACTGCGCTGTTCAGACTCCTAGGCCTCAATGCTTTCTGCGCCTGGCCACCTTAGAATAACAAACCTTCTTTGCACATAGCCTCGGTGGCCCACTCTAGGATAATGTTTATGATAAGACTTTGACATGGAATAACAAACATTGGGCGGAGGCTAGTGCTGCCTCTCTCCCCGTGATGGCTGTGTGGAGGGCAGCCACTGAGAGCTCACCGGGGGCCCCTCACTGGGGCTCACCGGGCACAAGGTGGCCTGCGGCATCTGCCGAGTGAAGGACCGAAATTCAAACACGTCTTCAAACAGGGCCCTAGGATGGAGTGAGGCAGGCGCCAGGAGGGTGGGGACAGGTTTATTGTTCCAGAGAAATCTAGTAAACAGTCCTGGATGGGCTGGAACAATGAACACTGAGGCTTGTGTTCACCTGATGTCCAGCAATGGCACTGTGCAAGAGAAAGCAACAGGATCCCCTGGGTCAAGAAGGAGGTTTGGACCAGACCCCTTGTGACAGGTCTAGCTTTTAGGGTGGAGGTCTGCTAACCCATCCTGAAGCCCAGGGGAATTACAGTAAAGAACTCAGTCCTCGTGGCCCAACTTACTGAGCACCCGCCATGTGCCAGGCACTGTTCTAGATGCTGGGCAGTTAACCAGGGACAAAACAGACACACATCCCTGCCCTCACACAACTTACCTGCTAGAAAGGTAAACAGAAAAGAAACAAATTATTAGTAATAGTATTTTTATGCAGCATGTTAGAGATACAACAATGACTCCTTTGAACTAGAAGTTGAGACTGCCACCCAGCGGCGTTGCAGTCCTCGGGCCTCTGAGTCAACAGGCAAAGAAGGGGGTCACTGTGCTGGGTGGAGTGATTGGTCCTATTAGACTGCTACTCCAATGGAAGTAAGTTGGGTGTGTCTGGAACACAGGAGATCTTTTAGGGCATCTTTTAGTATTACCATACCCTGAGATTAAAGTCAATGGAAAACAACAACAACCCAGTTCAGTCAGAACTACTAAAGATGGCCCAAAGCCTTTAGGAATAAAGGTCTGGGACACTCAGCCAGGTTAAGAACCATGACCAGGTGAGGTTGTTGCTGAAGGCAACAGAAATACAGAATGAGTAGTAGAAGAAGAAGGTGGTTATAAATACCAGCTACATCCATGTGACCAGTTACAGAAACAGGAACCATTACGAGTATTCCTCCTTCTTTTGTTATAAATATGTGTGTGTGTATGTTTATATCTCAAATATCTTTGTTTTCTTCCCTACCTATCCCCTTATTATGTAACATAAGACGTACTGACTTTATATCAAAGTATTTAAGTCACAGGATATCAAGGAGAAGAATAAATGCCACCCACAGACTTTGTATTCTTTTCTGAAGAAAGGACTAGTGTGCTTTTGGTTGCACACAGGATAGTTGCATCATGGTAGGTGGAACTATGACCATGTCATTGTCCTTATTTGGAGATTAAGTGTGATTTAAGGAGATGTGTATGGGTGCCCAGTTGACAAAGGGTGGACTCATGGGGATTAATTTTATATGTTAACCTGGCTAGGCCACCTTACCCAGATATTTGACCAAACATTTTTTAGATGTTTCCACGAAAGTACTTTTTAGATGAGACTGACATTTAAGTCAGCAGAGTCTTAAAAATGCATAATGTGGGTGCTCCATAATGTGGGACTCACCCGATCATAGAAAGCCTTAATAGAAACAGTCGACCTCTTTCAAAGAAGGGGGAATTCTCCTAGCAGACTACCTTTGAACTTGAACGGCAGCATCAACTTTTCCCTGAACTTCCAACCAACCCCACCTATGCAGTGTATGAGTCAATTCCTTGAAATAAATCTGTTTATCTATCTATCTATCTATCTATCTATCTATCTATCTATCTAATCTCTCTCTCTCTCCCCCTAGCTATCCAAATGCATACATGCATTCTGTTGGTTCTGTTTTTCTGGAAAACAAATACAGTATGTATTACAGAAAGAAAATAAAGCAGGCAAGGGGATGGAGAGTGATGAGGGAAGAGGGACCAGCAGGTGCAAAGGCCCTGGGCATGTGAAGAGAAGTAGAGGCCAGGGTCTTCTAAGGAGGAGAATAATGGAAAACAAGATCATAGTTAATGAACATACCAGATCACACAGCTGTTGCAAAGATGCTGGAAAACTATCTCATGCCTTAATCTTTTCAGATAGAGACTGTTATTCCCATATGACAAACCAGGAAACTGAGGCCTTGAAGATGGTCAAGTTGCTTTCACGAAGTCCCACATTGAAGAATTGGAGCTGAGATCGAAACTCAGGCCTAGCTGGCAGGTCCTGGGTCCTTTCTGCTACATCTAGACCTGACTCACCAAGCCACCTCCACCCAACCACTGACAGGAAGGACAGACATAAACAGAAGAGTAGGGGCTGGTCTTTCAGGCCCAGATTCTGAGTGGTCAGCTGGGAAGTAAGAGGGGCCTAAGAACCTTAGGCAGAGGGTGCTGTCAGAGTTGCCCTGTGAGGAAAGGAAAGAGGTCACCCTTGCCAAGGTTCCCCTGGTTCGTGGCCTCTCACTCTGTTTCCACTATATCCAGTCTTGGGATCTTCCCCTATGTACCCCCTTGATCTGGAGCCCTCTTTCACTCTCCTCCTTGCATCTGGCTCCTTCCTTCAGACATTTCCTGAGCCATAGACTGGGCAGGTCCCCTGCCAGGTGCCCCCAAAGCACCCGACACCTCCCAGGCCATGACACTCCTCATACTCTTAACTGCCTGACACCCATCCTTCCTGCTTGACAGGGAATGTTCTGAGGGCAGGCAAGTCTTCTGTCTTGGTCTTGACTGTTTCCCCAGAGAGAGCATAGTATGTGCCTATCACGCAGATAGCGGATGCTTGAAAAATACTTGTAGAGTGAACAGATGAACAAACAGCCAAGTGAGTCAACTATCCCAGGACCCCCATCCTGAGCTATTCCCTGCCAGAACCCAGTACCTCCCATGCCCACAGTTGGGAAGAGCTGTGTCTCCTGGACCCTGGGCCAGACTAATCTCTCAGCACCCAGGCAGGGTAGAGGGCAGCTCCCTTCACAGGAAGCTTTCTCCAGCCTAGGGGACATTTCCTCAAAGGTTAAAACCTGCCAGCTTCCGGCTGAGTTTTATTTATTTATCCTCCGTGCCCCATCCATAGCACCAAAGCCATGCCGACTACTTCCCTATTTCCTGCTCGGGATTCTGAGCTCTCAGGCCTCCGGCACAAAATCCTGTCTCCGGACACTGGGCTACTGAGCAGAAGACATCCAAATAAACGCAAGGTTTCCTGGAGCGGGGCCTGGCTCTAGGCTACGAGTGGGGACCAGAGATCCAGGCACCAGCGGACACTTCACTAGGAACCCCAGAGTCTGGGCTTAACCACATGGGGAAAAGAACTAATTTACACATTCATTGAACAAATACTGATTCGCACGTAAGCAGCAGACGCTGTTCCAGGTCCTGGAGGTACAGTGAGCACAACAATAAAGATCCCTGCCGTAACACAGCTTTCATTACAGCAGGGGAAAGGTGGCAATAGAAAAAAAAAACAAGCAAATGATTTAGTATGTTAGAAAGTGATAGTTGCTAAGGAGAAAATAAGGCAAAGAAGAACATAGGGAGTGCATGTGTTGAGGGCTGACATTTTATTATTACTATTTTTTTTTTTTTGAGTTGGAGTCTTACTCTCTCGCCCAGGCTGTAGTGCAGTGGCATGCTCACAGTCACTCCAGCATCAACCTGGTGGGCTCCGGTGATCTTTCTGCCTCAGCCTTCCAAATAGCCAGAACTACATGTGCATGCTACCACGTCCCGCTAGTTTTTGATGTATTGTAGAGATGAGGTGTCTCCAAGTTGCCAGGGCTGGTCTTGAACCTGCGGATTCAGGCAATCCACTCGCCTTGGCCTCCCAAAGTGCTGGGATTATAGGCTGAGCCACCAAGTGTGGCCTATTTTTTAATCTTTTTTTAGAGACAGGGCTTTACCCTGTCACTCAGGCTGGAGTGCAACGGTGCGATTGTAGCTCATTGTAGTCTTGAACTCCTGGCTTCAAGAGGTCCTCCTGCCTCAGTCTCCCAAGCAGCTGGGACTATGGGTGCATACCACCATGCCAGACATTTCAGATAAGAAGTCCAGGCAAGGCCACAATAAGACACGACTTTGGAGAAAAGATTGGAAAGAGATGAGGGAAACAGTCATGTAAGTATCTGAAAGAACAATCTGTGCAGAAGGAACAGTAAGTGCAAAGGCCCTGAGGCAGGAGTAGGATGGATGGGTTTGAGGAGTAGGAAGAAGGCCAGTGAGGCTGTGGAGGAATGAGTGAGGGGGAAGCCCTGACTTAGGCAGGGACCCAGTAAGAAGCAGTACTGGGAAAGTGAGTTCCAATGAAGTAAGTTCAACTGAAGGAGTGATGGAAGACCACAGATGGAATATTCACAAAGCTGTGGAAGGGGAGGGCGGAAGGGGAAGGAGGGAGAGAGGGGTAGCTTTTCTGCTCCTAAACTTTTAGGGAAATGGAAGAAGCAGGGACCCAAACTCTGGTCAGGCTTGAGAGGGAGCACAGCTACTGTTGACCAAGGCCTGGACCATGGTGGCACCCAGGAGTAGAATGGTGGTAATAACTATTTCAGCTTCCTTCCCCTTCTGCCCACCCACTTCCTGCCAGTACTGTCACTGAGATGAGGCTAAGGGGGTGAGACAGGTGATACTGGGTCAGCCCAGAGCAGGGCAAGGAGCGGAGGATCCGGAGAGGCAAGAGAAGAAATTTCCAGCACAAGGCAGAGAGGTCACGGTGAGGGGGGCAGCGGGACAGCTCCTGCAGGGCCCTGTGGGCTTCAGAGGCCTTTGGCTTCCTGAGTGAGATAGGAAGTCTTGGGGAGTCTGAGCAGAGAGGTGATGGATAAGCTGTGTGGATGGAATCAAGGGAGGCAGGGACTGAAAATGAAGGCAGCTCTGCCCTCTTCACTCCCCCCCATCACATCCTAATACCCAGACTGTGGATTCAGAGAACCACAGACTTGGCCTTGAGCACAGATGTCCTGTGCCCCATAGTGGCCTGCTGGATGAACCCAGTGGTGCTAGTCATAACCCCATCTGCCCTGCAGGGTGAGTTGGCTAAGCCCTCGGTGTTTTCCTGGATGGGCATCAGGAGGCCTGACTCACCCTAGCTTTCTTTCCTCCTTTTCTCTAAATGCTTAGTTTCTCCACCCAAAGACCACCCTTAAAGATCCCAGGGTTCCTCCTCTGTCCTTCAAGTCATGCCAGGAAATGCTCATAAATCCAGAGCCGCCCACATGATGAGATTAGCATTCTGCCGGGTAGGGATGTTGATGGCTGGGACTGGCTGGGGCCAGCCCAGAGGCTTGGGGACTCCAGGAAAGGGTCTATGTGGGGTCTTCCCTGTGAGTGGGTAGAGGGGTCCTTTGGCTTTCAGTTTTCAGTGCAGATAAGCCAAAGGAAGGCCAGAGACCTGGATTCTGGTGCTGCAGACTCTGACCCAGGCCAATTGTGGGACTGGTTCTCTGGGTCACAGGGTCCCTGCCGAAATAGGAGGGTATGGGAATCCCTCTCAGCTCTGGAAGGCCTATTCAAGGAGCCCAACGTTTAGAACATTACATGCACCAGTCCAGACACTTTGCCTATGAAAGCTCATTTACTCATCATAACAGACCTGTGAGGGCAGTCCTGTGAGGGCAGCATTAATGATCCCATTTTGCAGACGGAAAACCCAAGGCTCAGAGAAGTAAGTGACCAGTGCTGGGGGCTCCTCACTCAGGCCTTAGTTCCGCCTGGGCTGAACCCATCAAGCTTGCCCTGCTGCTCCTGCTGTGAATCTTCCCCCCGCCCCAAAAAACCCACCTCTGATCTTTTAAACCAAATACACTCTGAGCAAGGAGGAAAAACAGTAAGTGGTATTGGAGAGTCCTGGAGAATCCCCTAGATGGAGTTATTTGCAGTTATAAAGCTCTGAGGCCACAGAGGAGATGGACAGAGGAACAGGTAGTTATAACATGGTAGGTTAATGATAAAAGTTAAACACAGGGGTTTGGGGCCTCAGAGAGGGTTTCTGCCCCAGCTTGGGAATGAGTGGAGGAATAAGGGTGAGCAGAACTGAGGGTGTTCCCTGCAGAGGGAGTGCATGGGGTGTTCAGAGATGGTCAGGAGTCAGGCCTGGAGGAGACCCAGAGGTCAAGGGTCTTTAGTCTCACACCGTGGTCTCCAGCCTCAGCCCCACTGGCATACACAACCCTTCTCTACCTGATCTTCAGACCATGGACAAGCTGCTGCAGATGGTGAAATGGAGGAGGAATCAGAGACAAGTCAATTGAGACCCATGGAGGGACAATGGTCACACAGGTCATCTGTCAGCGGTGGCCTTAATCACCATCATTGCTATTATCGTTATTTAAGCAGTTGCTTCCATAGGATTGAAGCATGTCATTTTTACTTTTCCTGCAGTCTCAGACCTGCCCTGCTGACACAGCTGCCTAGACTTCAAAAGGCAAGTCTCCATTTTCATTTGCAAAATCAGTATGAAATTCCTAGAGGGCCCGTCTAATTCCTCTGGTCTGACCACACAGCAATTACCAATTTGCAGGGAGGGGGAGGGTCTCACAGGCCCTCCAACACTGTGGGGACCTCCGTCCGCTCTGCCTTGGTCCTGGGCAGCCGCCAGAGAAGACTGGATTGGAAGGCGCACCTCCAGGTGGCCCAGGGTGGGAGGAGAGGAGCCAGGCCTGTGAACGCTCAGTACTGATGAGAGAAGTCGTAATACGCCTCCACCGTCTGTCTGCCAAGCCACCGGTTATCAAACGCTCCAGAGACCAGCAGCAGCAGAAAGGGCGGGGCTCTGACCCAGCTTCAAATCCGGGACCTGCTATACGCAGGTTGCATGAAGGTCTCATTTTGGCTCTTTCAGTAAAATGCTGTGAGAATGTGAGGCAGGCCCTTCTCTCTAGGCCTCAGCTTACACATCTGCTAAGTGGAGAGAATAATTTGTCTAGGCTGCTTGAGACTAGCATTCTATAAACCTTGCAAAAACGATTGCCCTTTCTTAGGATATACACAGACACACATACTTTGAGAAACTTCTGTTCCCTAAACACTGGGGTGGGTCCCGGCTGCAGGAGGTGTTCCAAGGAGGGGCAAGAGTTCAGTATGTGTGGATGGGGGATTCCCATTCCTTCTTCGGTGTTCAGTGTGGACCAGTGCTGGGCCCTGTGCTGGGGCCATGGGACCAAATCAGTACCCTTTCACTTTGAGGAGTCACAGGCAGGGGTGTGAAGCAAGGGAGGAGGTTCCTGGAGGACACGAGGCAAGATCAAACAA